ATATAATAATATAATGTATAATATTATACATAATAATAATGTATATAATGTATAATATAATAATATAATGTACAATATTATATATAATAATGTTATATATAATATATATATATATTATATATATATTTATTATATACATATATATTATATATATATAAATTATATAAATTGAATAAAAAAAATTAAATTAAAAAAAATTGGATTAAGTTAAATTAAATTAAAGCATTAAAAATAAAAATTAACAATTAATTAATTAACATTAATCATCAACTAAGAGTGTACTGTAGAACATTTCTGACTTATTAATCATGAAATACTTTTCCACTATCAATATAATTAAATGTATACAAATATGTGCAGACACAAGCATACACGGACACAGACAGACAGACACACACACACACACACACATACAACAGTATATTTTATTTGTTAATAAAAACATTTGTTTGATTAATAAGTTAATAAATAATAATGCCAATATAAGGGTAATAATATAAAGGTGCTAATAATAAAGGTAATAATGTAAAGACATAAAGGTTCTAAAAAGTTCTAAAAAGCTCATTCATTCTTTTATTATTACAAATTGAAATGTATTAGCAATCAATACATTTGTATAAGATTATTTTAAAAATTTTAAAACTAATCCAAAAAACAAAAATATGAAATTAATTCAAAAATCAAAAATATGAAATTCCAAAAAATTTATTGTTAATAATTAATGTAAAGTGTGAAAATTAATGTCAAAATTTAATAATATTCATAAAATTTAGAAAATTTATTTTTTTTTTTTTTTAGAAAAAAGACAAACTTGCAACATAATATGGTGTAGCCAAAACAAGTGGCATAAATGCTTGTAAAATATATGTGTAAACAATTGCTTTTTGTTGTTGCAAATGTCTTGGATTCAAACTTCGTCCACTTTGTTTTCGAGCAGCTTTGGATTGTCGTCGAACGATGGATGAAAGTACCAATAGATTGCAAATGAATGAAAAGATGAAAAATGATGGCGCTAATACGAAGAATACAAACTGAAATTATTAATTTTAAATTAATTAATTAATTTGTTTATTTATTTGCTACTTTGCAAATAAAAGTAAACGAAAAAAAAAGAAGGAAAATCTATTTACTATAGTTTTAATTTAGTGTAATTATAAAAATCAATATTATCAAATGTTTATATAAATTCTCTATGAAATATTGCATAATATTTATGGTATACACTAATTAATTAATGATTTATAATATATGGTTATTAATGATGCAACAAACAAGTCAATTAACAATTTCATTAGTTAATATAGTTTATAGTGTACATTGGTTAACAATGATTGATTTCGAATCATTAAATTTATTAAGTAATAAGTTATAGATCATCACTGGTAAGTAATAATTAATCAATTAATTAATTAATTAGATAGGCGATAATGAAAATTAGTCGAGGTAGAGCACTAGAATAAATGAACTTATGCTTATTAATGATGTAACGAACAAGTTAATTAATAATTTAATCAGTTAATACTTTTTGTTATGCACTAATTAACAATGATTGATTACTAATCACTAAATTTATCAAATGACAAATTGTAGGTCACTACTAGTAAGTAATAATTAATCAATTAATTGGTTAATTAGTCAAGAAATGATAAATATAATGTCGCGTAAATGATTGAAAAGAGCTTATAACAATATAAACATTCAACAGTGAAGTACTAGAATGAATGAACTTATCTCTAATGATAATATTCAATGGTCAGTCTGACAAGTTCATCTCCTACCAATTCTCAATTCCTCTCCACTTCTCAAAATCCTTTTTTTCCTACAACCCACAATGTACTTGAATATCCAGTTGCTAAATATCCAATGGTCAGTTTGACAAGTTCATCTCCTTCACAATCCTTTCTCAAAATCCTTTTTTCCTACAACCCACCCACAATGTACCTGAATGTCCAGTTGCTGAATATTCAATGGTCAATGTGACATATTCATAATCTTCTTCTTCGTTTTCACTAATAACTTCTAATTTCATTTGAATCATTTTAAAAGATAAAAAAATTAGATAAGAAATGAAACTTACAACATTAGTATATGGTGACATTCGTATATATGCAAAGATGAAATCATAAAGGAGTACATTCTGAAGGCAAAGATCATAAATTGCGATCAACATTGGAATTGCAAAACATGTCAAAATTACCATTGTTAATGTTCGAATGCTTAAATCACAATTATGGCATACCAATAGCCATTGGTCAATGGCTAATACAGGAAATAGGAAATAGGTGACATAGCTGGTATTGTAAACAACTGTACGTAAAAAGCTACATAGAAATAAACTTAGCTTAATATTACCAAGTAACATGATTAAATAAGCTGAATTTAGCATTAAATAACCAAAAAGACCATATAAATTAGCAATTGTCATGCCTAAAGTTGGATATTTGACACGTGCCGAAATGAGGCCTTTTTTTAGGCCCATATATGCTAGGAGAATATTTGGTGGTATAGCCAAGCAATATAGAGTAATATAAATGATTGAATTAGGCAAATAGGATTCCAATGCAGGCACTTGATCATTTAGATTTGATACATTCTCTACCTCTTTGTAAAATGACATCCTGAAATTACAATTTATTAAAAAATAAAAAATCAAATAAGCAAATAAATTTGCATGAAAATAAACTTTTGACAATTTCTGTGACAATAAAAGAAGTAAATTGAAAGATTGGATGGGAGGGAGGGAGGGAGGGAGAGAGGGAAGGAGGATATTTAAAGTTCCATTTAACACCTATAACAAAAATCTTATTTTAATTATCTCAGCATGCAGCAGGAAATGATAAAACGAAAAAAAGAATAGGAAAGAAGTGAATAATATTACTAATTAAATATAATTAGAAGAAAGCATATGTTGTCATGCTGTCAAATTGTTGTCACATTGATGCAAAATTAGGAAAGAAAGAATTAGTAAATTAATTAAGAATAAAATTTTACATTGAAAGGTTAAAATTAAACTTTTATTTCAAATTGTTTACCATAAAAGATTCAACGATAAGCTTTCATTAAAATGCTATTACTTATTAAAATGCTATTGAAATGGTTTTATTAAAATAGTACTTATTGACGTGATCTAATTAAAATTATTCTCTATTAATTACTTTTCTTATTTAGCCATGATAAATGAATTATTATTTGAAAAAGCGTTAAGCAACTTTAATTATTTCAAAATTTTTTGTAATTTTCAATTTATTATATTTTATTAATTTCAAATAACTGTAATTAATTATGATAAACCTTTTATTTAATATATTTTTCATCTTATGAATGTAAATTTTCAATAAGTCATATATGTAAGTTATTATTACTGAAGTAATTTTTGGATGACAAATTCATTTGCTCCTCTGATTAATTATCAATTTATAATTAATTATTTGATTTTATTTAATTAATAATTATGAGAATTACTTGTATTAACTATTGGTTTCAGTCATACATGTATATAAACGATAAGTAAGATACGAATGGATTGAGAAAATTAATTATTTCATCAATTAGCGCCTAAATTGCTTTACAAAAGTATAGCTATCACTTTGTTGTTAAATTTATTAAATCTTTTAACACTGTCCAATCTGTTAAGCGTAATTAATTTCATGAAATTTAACACTAGAAAAATGTATGATTGGAAGATTAAATCATAAATAATGGTATTTATTTCAATGAAATTTAACAAGAATTTAATATAAATAGCCAATTAACAGTTGACATCAAATTATTTTACGATAATGACACAACTCAATAATTCTATGATTCCATGATTACACGATAACTCGACGATTCTATGATTCTATGATTACACGACAACGATTCTACGATTCTATAATTACACGACAACTCAACGATTCTATGATTCCCTGATTACACGATAACTCGACGATTCTATTATTCCCTGATTACACGATAACTCGACGATTTTTCGATTCTATGATTACACGATAACTCAACGATTCTACGATT